AGAGAACAATTTATAATGAGTAAAAATGAAAATGTCGAGGCAATGTAAAATGGAAAAATAGCAAATAAATGGAATAACTTGATAATCCTCACACGGGAAACTAGTTCGGAAATGATTGGTGGGGAAACACTTAAGGAGCTGAAGACTTATCTCTCTAGCTGATTTATTCTACTAATGCCTTACTTACTCGACGAAGTTTGCTAAAAGTGTTATCGCTATCTCTAGTCATAAGAACCTAACAAATATAATGCTACGGTATCTCCTCTCAGTCTCAACTATGGCAGCCTACAATCTTGATGACGCACTACCCCTCTTAGTTGTTGAAATCCTAGCTTAGTTTCGCTCAAGTACTAAGGGATTAGGCTATAGTGATTAACTATATCTCATTGTTTATATTAATCTTACTCAAGTTTCTCTCGAACACTTAAGAATTAATTGCTAGATGTATCTCAAACATATAGTCTTTATCTAAGAAATAGACACTCTCATGCCTCCTTCAATCTTAGAAGATGAAGCACACATAAACAAAACAAGTAAAAGATAAACACTAATCAATCATTAAAACAAAGTTTTCAAGCATCCATTAAATGAACCCCACCAAATATAGCTTAGTTCATGGTGGGGTTCGAATAAACCATGGAAAATATCTAATCATTCATTCAACCAAACAATCCAAATAAGTTTTCAATATTTAACAATGGAGCAAATGTTGGAGAAGAAAACACTCGGTGTGCACGACCGAAACTTCCTCAAACCACGATGAATGACTATAACGTGAGCTTCTCTCGGATACTTATGCCACTTCCTAGAACTTCACCAATGGAGGAACACCAAGAAAAATGGAAGAAGAAAAACGGTGGAGAGAATGGAGAAGGTGATGATTTTTTAAGCTTGATAACTGTCTCTTTCTCTCTCTTGTGTGGTGTCATTTCATAATAAAAATATCTAGGGGTATTCTTGGAAATTTTACACTCAAAATACCCATCATACCGCTAAATTCATTCATTGGGCGTGAAGTTTATCTCTACATGTGACAGTGGACCCCATCAGGCGATTAAAAGCAACAGGCACGTGCTTTGACAATTTTCCTCTTGTGAAAATATCTTTTTTCCCTTTTCTGCACCAGAAATGCCAAGGCATTGGAGTCTGCTTCAACAACCTATAATGTCGTGACATTCTTCTCAGCTCGCACTATGCTCCTTGTTTTCTGCACATCACTAACCAACCACACCTTTCCCATTATATAGAACCTTAACAAAACAAAATAATACAATCACCACAAATGCAACTACGTGCAACTATATGAATCTAAAATGACTCATATAAACCCTTAGACAAACAATAACTTAAGTGAAAATGCCTTAAAAGTAGTTTTTTTTACAGAATTATCATCAGAGAACTCAACAAAATAATATCTTATAGTTGAGTAACTATTTATGTACTTTACCGTAAAAATTAAAGGAGTCAAGGATTGAATCAAAATAATAATAAAATAAGAGTTCAATGCCCGTAAATCTTAAGGTTTGGCTAATTAGGGAAAAACAATTTTAAGACATTTGAGTGTTGAAGTCTGAGATTAGATTTGTCGGTAGAATTACTTTAAGAATTTTGAAAAATAAGAGTTGAAAATTTTATGTTTTAAAAAGTTTACGTGTAACATTAATTAAAAAATGTTTTAAATACTTAAATAGAAAAGGATAGAATACATATATGAAAAAGATTCATCAAAATATGTATAGAGTATTTAATTATTTTATTTAAGTTTTTAAATGTTTACGTATAACATTAATTAAAAAATATTTTAGGTATCTAAATGAAAAATATAATATATTTTAGATACATATTTTAATCAAAATGATAACTTTAAATATTTATTTTAACTAAAAAATATTTTAAATACTTAAATAAAAGGGGTAAAGTATACAAATGGTCCCCTTACTATAGGATACTACTTTATTGAGTCTCTCAACTATTAAAAATTACAAAATAGTCTATCAATTATAAGGAGTTGCTTTATTGAGTCCCTCGACTATTAAAAGTTATAAAACGATCACCTGACTATTCATTATGTTCCAAACTCATCATTTTCTATTAAAAAATTAACGAAAGTCTGAGTTGGATGTTAACATGCTGATTGAAATGTGATAAAATATGATCTTATAATCTCAAACGACTATCATTTCTCAGTCAGAATGTTAACGCCCATCTTAAACGAATGTTAATTTTTTAACGGAAAATGATGAGTTTGGAACATAATGAATGTTGTATGATCATTTTGTAACTTTTTGTAGTTGAGGACTCAACAAAGCAACTCCCTATAGTCGGGAGACCATTTTGTAACTTTTAATAGTTAGGGACACAACAAAGCAATATCTTATAATTGAATGACCATTTGTGTACTTTACCCAATATTCCCCTTACTATAAGGAGTTGCTTTGTTGAGTCCCTCGACTATTAAAAGTTACAAAATTGTTACATGATTGTTCATTATGTTCCAAACTCGTCTTTTTTCGTTAGAAAATCAATAGCAATCTGAGTTAGGCGTTAACCTGCTAATTGAGATATAATAAAATCTGATCTCATAATGTCAAACGACTATTATATCTCAATCGAAATGTTAATGTTCATCTTAGACAACTGTTAATTTTTGAACGAAAAAGGATGAGTTTGGAACATAATGAATAGTTGTGTGACCATTTTTTAACTTTTAATAGTCGAATGACTCAACAAAGCAACTCCCTATAGTCGGGAGATTATTTTGTAACTTTTAATAGTCGGGGAAACAACAAAGCAATATATTATAACTGAAGGACCATTTGTGTACTTTACCCAATTAAAAATTCTATATTTTAATACGCATTTATAATATAAGCTTTAAGTACGAATCAAGCGACCTCGGTGATAAGGAATTGTTGTTAGTCCTTGAAATTCCGGGTTCAAGGACCAGGAATGTAATGGTATGAGCATTTAATACAAAATGGTTGAAAATTATCATTAAACAAATACTATTTTTTACTTATCACATATTAATAAAAAAATAATATAAACTTAAAAAATAAGTTAAAATGGTCGGTTTTTTGTATTATTGTCATAAAAGAAAAGTCTTCAAGCGCATTAAATACAAACAACATTTATTCAAATTTATCAAATAAACTACTACATGCATTTTTCCCCTTTTTATATGATGTGTTTCAGAATTAATAATTTTGAAAATCATGGAGAATGTGCAGATACATGAGTATTGACAAAAAAATCCTTAAAAATGCAAGTGATTTGATTGATGCAATTTAAATAATTAGGTGGTATAATTAATAAAAATAAAAGATGATTGATTAAAGTGAAAAGAGATAATGTATTGTAAGTGATGAATGGTTCGAGATTCAGTTTATTAATATTATCTTTAATTTTTTATGTCTGAATTATTATTATATATGTGTATTTAATTAATTAATTTATTATATGAATTAAGTGATCGCAGTTGTTAAGAGATGATTGTTATCCTTAAAGATTTTGAGTTAGAACAAGATGTCTGCATAGATGTTTATTATTATCAAATGATTAAGATTTTTTTTGAACGGATATTATATTGTAATCACGCAGAATAATAAAAGAATTAATTAATTCATTTTATAAATAAATTAAATGACGATTAAAATTGTATTGAATAGTGATAGATGGAAAGATACTAGATCAGAGTTTGAAATATTGGTAAGGCGTAAGATACTCATTGATTTTGAGATTCTCATATATATACCCGTCGATGAATAAAATAATGTTATAATATCTTTAGTTTTGATATTTAAATTATCAGTATTTAATAGATTTATGAGTGAATTGAATCTTTGATGATGACTAATTAATAATCTATAAAAAAATTTACTTCTAATGATTATCAAACTCACAATTTATATAAAAAAATAAATATATTAATTTAAACTTTTTAATCAGTTACTTGACACTTTCTTGATTATATTATTTGATTGTGATATTGAATTGTTTACTGACCAATCGGGAAATGTGTAAGAAAGGTCAGCGTAAAGTAATAGAAGGGTAAATTACAATATTAATCACTTTTGTTTAATTTTTATATATATTTTTGTTGAATTTAAAAAATATAATATTTGATAATTTTTATTTTTATTTAATTAAGATGTGGTAACTGAGGATGAGGATTAAATGCTGTTAGAATTTTAACAGATCACTGACGTGGTCCAATGAATTTATAAAATGAAAATAGGCCAACTACACAAATGGTCACTAATATTTAAGTAAGTTTTCGTTTTCAGATTAAAGTTTCACAAGTAACAAATTGGTCATTAAAGCATCAAATAGGTCATTGAACAACATTTTTATATCAAATTTACCCCAAAAGCTTTTTAATTTTTCCAATTTTGATGTATATACTTTTTAAATTTTATTTTAGAAATTAACTTTTTCAGACATGAAGCAATCAAATATTTCGAATGATCAAAAAATAGAAAGCTTTTGGAATAAACTAGATATAAAATCATTGTTCAAAGACTTATTTGATGTTTTAGTGACTAATTTGATACTTTTGAAACTTTAATAGGGGGAAAACGAAAACTTACTCAAACATTAGTGACCATTTGTGTAGTTTACCCATTTTAATTTTATAAATTCATTATACCATTTCAACAACCCGTTAAAGTTCTTAACGGTAATTAACCCTGAGTGACCACATTTTAATTAAATAAAAGCAAAAGTGATCAAACATTAATTAAATAAAAATAAAATAATCATATATTATGTTTTTTGAATTTAGTGAGAAAAAGTGTACAAAGCTTAAATAAAAGTGATCAATTATATAGTTTACCCATTAATAAAAGTATAAAATTGTTTTCATCCCTGAGATCAATTCACATGTTACCACTCCTTTAAGAACATATCGGCAAGTAATTGTCTTAAATTGAACAAATTTGACCTATAATCAATGAAACCATGAATTGCCTCAATCTACATAGACAACCATCAAACTATTTTCTCCTCCAAAACAAGAATAAAAGAGGGTCTAGCCAATCATCATGGTAGCTAAGCTACAACAAAAAACCACATTTCTTTGATTATTAGATTTAGATTGTGAGATTTTCTTGAATGGCAACAAATGAACCCATAATTTTCCCACCCACATCTGGGAATGTTTCACAGCCAGGAAGTGGCTTCACTTTGCCGGTCCGATCGACTTCGACCGGATACTTGAGAAGGTGGCCCTTCATTTCTGTAACTTCATCAGCCATGTATTGTTTCCAGTTTTGCTCACCCAAAGACCGCACCTTCCTTACACAGTCCAGACTCTCCGGTTGCTTAAAACTCTCCTCCACACCTCCAATATGCTCTGCCCATAGTGACATCCTATAACCGTACACCTGCACTCATTTTAAGTACATGTCTGATTGTGAAACACAAATACAAATGTTTAAGATCAATGCATCAAAATGTATCATCTCAGCTTACCTGCCCGTGCGGATTGTGTCGTTCGCTTAAGCACGTATGGCTAGGCTGATAGGCACCCATTGCTATTTCAGTGTCCCTAGTGCCTTCCATCGAGCGCTGGTTGATGTTAGCAGACCCTATTATGACATACTCGTCGTCTACTATCATACCTTTGGAATGAATGTAGATCATAAAGCGGCGGCTCTTCTTCGCAAGTGCCTGTGTTAACATATTTGGTTCATTTTCGTATGGATAAGCAGGCTGGAGTATTAAAGAGAAAGCTGGGAAGTCTACATAGGTAGGCTTGGGAGGTACCTGAGGAGTAATTGACATGGTGGGATCGCTAGCATTCGAAGAGGAAACTCCATCGACAGCCTCTCGGTTACCAAGACAAAAGAAATTTAGAAAATCTTGAGGCTCATATCTTTTCTCAAGTCCAGTTTCCACCAATGCCTGGTATATGATGTCATACATCATTTGCATTGTTTTATGCTGCAGAAACCAACAATTATAGATTGAATAAGTTTTAACTAACAGAAGGTCTTAATTTTTAGAAAGAAAAAAAACTCAACACATGATCAGTTTGGGTGCACTCTGCCGAACATGAAATGAATACGACTACCCGAAATATCATCTAGCATGCAGACAATTCACGCTTAAGATATACAAGTTTTCTTTTTCCCGAAATGGTAATTGGAGTCTACCTGCCAAAAGAGAATCCTTTGGATAGGAGCGCTGGTTGTAACACCTTCTGGCCACATTGGGATGAGAATATAAGCAGAAAACCTCTCATTTGATCTGATTTTGTTAGCAATTTTCAGAGCAATTTCCATTGGAATTAAATTGTTTGCACCTGCAAGCAAAAGCCAAAAACATGCTCAAAACCATATGCTATATATGCATTCAAATCCATCCAGGTTAAAAAAGAAAAAACCTTAGTATGAGCAAGAGAAATGAATGTTGTCAGTCCAGCTGATAGGGGATGAAGGTTTTCAGTTTTACATGACTAGTTTATGTTTGTTCCTTTATTCTTCATCTTAAAGGCTAAGTTTCTTACCTAAATCTTTGTGTGCATCCCAATTATATGATGATCCAAGAAAGTACTGATTCTCGATGTAGATGAAGCGTTGAGCAGAACGGATTGCATTCACATATGCAGTGTGTATGCTCATGTCTATAAGAACATTCTTCCCACACACCAAGTTCTAAAAAAATATATATACATACAAGTTGGTTATACTTCGTTAATCTTTCAACAATGGATGATAAGGACAGCTAAAAGCCATAGGCTTCTCTCACCATTTTTGTAGCTTCTTTTGGATCATGCGGAAAACCCTTCACAGAGTTGGAATCAATTGAACGGAAAACCTTCATAGTAGGGAATTCATAGGAACAGGCAAAAAGAATTAGGAAAAGGCCAAATATGGAACAAGAAATTAGTAACACCAACCGCTCACTAACATGCAAAATACCTGAACATGCCAAGATTCAGGATCATCCTTGCTCGAATAAGGGATTTCTGCCATCCGAACAATTTCATGAATCCTTTCAATCTTTAGTAATGCATCTTCAACTGAATTCTTTAGTTTTTGAAGCCCGTGAGGTTTAGAAGCCTTTAACCAACGCTCCTCAAAGTTGGTGAGTATGTCATAAGCAGCTGGGCCGTCAATTCGGCAATGCAAATCATGCCAAGGTTCTCTTGGACAACCAGTTTTAGGTTCCTACAGAGGGTGAAAGACTAATGCTAGTAAAAATGTTGCCTAATGTGGCAGATGATTCCTCAACACCAGGGCTTGTATATTCGAAGTATATTCCACTTCATACCAAATACTACATGCTTATACTGCATTATTTCTATATATATATATATATATATATCAATCTAGTTTTCGATTAGTCTAAAAACGGTCATTGTGCAACTAACAAATTCATCACTTATATGCATATGGTTGCAGCAAGGAGCCACTGATAGTTCCCATTATCCCAACTTCACATTGGTGTTTTAATTGAAAAACAGTCAGAGAAATGAGAACTGAAGAAAGTGAATAAGTTACCGTGAAGCAAGCGTTGTGATAGTCATCTTTGTGTACTGTTTGCAATGTTCTGAAAAGTGAATGGTTTGGAGTATCGTACCGACCCCTGCACAAATCAAGACCACCAACAAATGCCATAATCTTTCTTTTGTTGTTACCAGAATCGGCATCGACAATCACAGTTTTCTGATGATGGGTATAGATTGTTCCAGTTTCCTGGTAAGCAAAGGTCAAAAGAGAACAAACTCCAGCTTTAGAGTATTTCGAGTGTAAATAGTGCCTAAGTGACATTCCCCTGTTCGAAATGGCAATAAACTTTTTTTGACAAAGTGCATTAATTACTAATACTATGTAACAGACAACACTCAGATCATAACTAGTAACTAATTATACTGACCTGGTTTTTTATCCAGCTTCCTCTTTGGGCAGATCGAGGGCAAAGTAACACTTGCACGGAAGAGTGCTTGAAAAACTGGCGAGTCTCTTCATCATTTGTACCCATGATTCCTTCCTGCAAATCCTAGAGACCATCAGTGTATTCAAGCCAGAAAATGAATAATTGCTACTTGAAGGACAAAAAGAACGAATTGACTCTTATATGACATGGTACCGATACTCCTTAATTACTCAAGACAGAGATTCTTAGAGGACAAAAGGAAGAGAAATGGTCCTTTAATCTGCAAAGCCTTATCAAAGCTAGAACAAGCTATTACAGATAAAATCAAGACAATTTCTGTCCAAGACATAAGATCAGTTTCGGGATCATGACCGCAAAACAGCTAATAACTTGTGTGCAACTACATAAAAATACATCATGGGTTCAAGATTTATCAGTTGTACTTGAGAACTCATTAAACTATTCTTTCCCCTTTATAGAGAACCTGGAAATAGAAGATAACAGAAGTGTCTAAGCTTTAATTTGTTATTGCAATCTGTGGAACATAAAAACAAACATAACATAAAAGGAGATTGTTGAGTTGCTGACCGTTTTATATCCTACAATGCTCTTAGAAGTAGGATCATCCCATACAAGGAGCAGCACCCTAACACCCTCCTGAGATTTAAGTTTAAGAAGATCGCCCAATGTGGTATTCGACGCCTTATCGGATTCACGAACAAGTCTGATATTATGAAATACAGACCAGCCTGCAATGTATATCAAACGATGGGCCTGGACTATAGCATTACAGATGTCCAGCCAGCAGCTCCAATGCTCATATCCAGCATTGCCATCAACCTCCAAATTGGGAAGGAAACCATCATGGACGTGAGCATCTTGATATAAAGTAACTTTGCACCCTTTTCTAAGAGGAAAGTAAGTACCAGGGACCCCATGATGGTCAGGTCCTGAACCTAATCCCCTATGGTAAATAGCCATTTGCTGGATTGGGGTGTACTGAATTGACAAAGTCAGAACAGCTCCAGGCTTAATAGGCTCCCCTTTTTCATTAAGGATAGGGAAGGTTCCTTCAACTTTTGTGGCTGAACATAGCTGTTCAATCGGAATTCCAACGGCTCCCATGATCTGTGAGCCCACAACATCATCGTCTTTGACAACAAAGTGGACTTCAGAGGCATAATGTGCAACGGGGACGGTAAAACGTTGCGTCCAAACCGGATTCTCGGAATCACTAACAACAAAAGTTCTCCCAATCACAGCACCCGCCACCGAGATTGTGACATATGGATCGCTGGTTATCTTATGAGACATGTGGCTTTCGAGTTTGTCACTAACCTTTAAGTCAATCTTTCCAAGCATATCACCCAACTTCTTGTGGAACATATCCATGTTTGGTAGGTTTTTAGCCTGCTTGACCCAAATATCTAGATTGCCATGTAAGAGCAAGACTTGCAAGGACACTTTACTGGTCTTAAATGGAAGAATTTGGAGGCCCTGACCATGGCTCGAGCCTCCCAAGGAGGGAGCCTCGTGGAAAAGTGTACTAGCCATTGGAGAATTAAACTGGACCGGATTCTTAAGGAAATCTGGCCAATACCCAAAACTGGTAAGAGAAAATGAAAGGGGGTACTGGATTGAACAATGTGGAGGTAAGAGAAAACAAATCTGGGTGTTGGAGGAGATTTGAGGGTATATAATATGAATTTAGGGAATTTGCTTTGAAGGTTCTATTTTGTATCTGCTCACTTCCATTAATTACTTGTAGTTTACTTGGTCAATGCCATATTGGTCTTTCTTCTACCTTTCGTCTACCTTGAACTGCGGCAGCCACGACACAAGGGACAACGATATGCTCAACTTGCACATGTTTCTTTATTACAAATATTAATTCCATAAAACCCCATCCACTCACGTTTAACTACAAATTATTTAATCTTTTTAAGTGAAAACACATTCAATATTAGTATTTAGCAATATAAGATTCAATCTTTTTAATGACATTTTATTTTAGGCTAAAAAATCTCTTATTTTAGAGGATTAATCGTGTGTTAATAAATAATTTTTATCTATAGAAAAAAATTGTATCAAAATGAAACGTTAGAGTTAAAATATTAAAAAAATATGAATCAAAATGATTATTTTAATAAATATTGAGGATTATTTTCGACATTATGCAAACGATTAATGTCAAAACTAAAAAATCGGATTCAAATGTACATTGGCTACATTATAAGTTAAGAATAACAATAATAAACGATTTTACAATAGAATTAAGACATAAATTTACTTTAAAAACTTTAGAGGAAAATCACGAACAAGTGAAAAAAATACACGCTTGAATTTGAGTCGTTTTGTTTTTAGTCATTCCAATGGTTAATTCCACGTTTGTAAAAAATTATTTGTTCAACATAAACCCCAATATTTATAAAGATGATTACATCTCTCCGGAAATAATTCTCTTATATAATTTTAAAGATTAACTATTGCTCTATATTTATAGCGAAAACAAAAATTGGTCACCAAGAATCCTTGTTCTATATAGTTCTTTAACTTCAGCCACTAAAATTAATAAAAATCTAACTTTATATCAGAATAAGAACATGAAGAAACGAAGAGAGAGATGAATATGAGAAATATGTGAATAAAATGAGGTCTGGCAGCAGGTACTTTGTTAGAAACTTGAATCTACAGACTTACATGTAAGCCATATGATACTCGAATGCATTACGCTTATATAAGCCCACAGCTATTTACTCCATGAGGCTCGCATCAACATGATGAAACAAACAATCTTCTTCTCCATTTCTCATGGAGATCCTTTGTCTCTCTTACCTTTTCCGCTTCGACTTCAAGTAGGTGACAGATTGAGAGTTGCTATGCCAGTTGCGCTTCCTTTGGTTGATGAACCAGTTGTTGATTTGCTTTAGCTGCAATCCTGTTTCCTCCACAAGTTTGGCCTTATCATCTTCCTGTATCAATTATCATACACGGAACCATATGAACCTCAACTAATAACACTAGTAATTCTTGTTCTGCCTATGGATATGAAACAAGTAATGGAGCATTGGGAATTGAAGTTAGTTGCTTACAGTTGGGTATGGCCACTTTGAGTGTTGCTGCCACCAGTTTTTGAGCACTGTGGTTGTGTCACCTGGTAATTTCCCAGCCCTTCTTTTTCGTAAAATCTCCTCCCTCACGTCCTCAATTCTTGATTTGAAACCCTGCACGGACATTACAGATTGTGTTAGTGTTTACTTTTTCTCAGTTACCAAACACGTGTTTCACTTGGCTTGGAACCGGAAGAGCAAGAAATGACCTGTTTCAGTTCAATCTTGAGCTCCTGACGGACCCTCTCCATCAAAGACCTTTCGGATTCAGTAGGGATTAAGGGACCAAAACCCATTAAGTCATGCCCTTCACTGCCGAATTGATCCAAAGACAAGTCCATCTGCATCTCATCCTCATCATCTGACATTGTTGCACCTGTGCCTTCACCCAAGCTAACTCCTGCAACACATGATACAAAGAGTCAATTTTTTTTTTTTATTGTTTTGGATGATTATAAGGCAGTGTATGTTCATAAGTTTTCTTTTTAACTATAGATAAAATTAACCTTACAGACTCAATTACTCGAATCTAAGACTTAATTAGATTCAATCTTTAAAATCTCCTTAAAGTGATAAAATCTTGAAAATGCACAATCATTGATGATAACACTTCTCTATCTTTCTAAGTCTCAAAAACGTTAACATAAAACAAACTCCAAAGCAATATGTACTTTTTTACGAATTATAAGCGTAAAAAGATTCAAATACTTTTTAAAGTTTTTCTTTCTAAAAAATGATAATTATAAAATATCTATTCAATTTTTTTTCTTAATCTATTAACAGTATATATATTCTATATACATAACTACCTAAACTTAAATCTTATAAAAAGAATAATTATGATGTTCTTACATCACCAATTTTATTATACAACCCTCTACATCATAAAATTAAACTTTATACGAAAATATTATTTTTCTAAAACTTTTAATCTATCTATTAATCTATTTATATATATATATATATATATGTATATATTAGAATCCACCTACACTTAGTGTATAACTCTTAGTTTTACATACTTTTAAAACTGTTGAATGAGGAAAATCAAATAGTAATATTAACTTATTATTTTTTTATTCAGTAAATATTTTATTATTTCCTACTGTTAATTTCATCTTTTAATTTCTCTCATCCAATATTCCTTAACTCTTAGTTTTGCATTAGATACAGTTATTGATTGTAAAAATTGCAACTTTCACTTTGTTTTGTTTAAGTTGTAATTTTTTTTAGTAGTATGAAATGATTATTTTAAAAAAATTAGATCTATTAATTTCACATACTCTCTACAACGTAATCTTTCAAACTTTGAGAAAAGCATGTATAAAATTTGAGGGGACAATTGTCCCACTCATAATAAATGAGGCAACAACAAAGATTAGTCCCTCATACTGAATATAATAGGTAGGCATCTAGACAGCTAGGGTAGACTCCCCATCAAACTGACAACACAATAATTGAGCCTTTGCTAATTTAACCACTTCCACACACATGTCATGCAACTATCAAATTTATATGACATATATATTTTATTAAAATATATTGTATATCTACATAAGAGGGTTGTTTTGATAAAATGGATCCCTTAAACCCCACGTTCTAATTTGTTTATATTTTTTTAAATATAATATAAACATTTTTAATGTATACCTAAGGTTTGGTATGTATGGTGGTTAGAACTAACAAGTCATATGAATGAACATCTAGCTGGAGATGATTCAAATTGATTATTGAAGCATAAATAATAGAATCTCTTTCAAGAAAAGGAACACCGGAAATCATCACCAACCGCATCACAACACCAAAACAAGACCAGAGAGCAATTAAGCATTATTAATTATTATCTTCAAGAAACAAGTAAAATAAAAGTATGATTCTATCCAAAACCAGCTAATGATGGTGATTTCACTAAAATTGTTTGAATAATATGTTCAAAAATATATGGTGTAAAAAATATTATTTAAAGTAGAGTATTTGTTATGATATTTGTTGGAAATGTTTGGATCATACGACGACTTCTGGACCACAGAAGTTTACTTCTGAAAATTATTTGGACTACACAACGACTTGGAACTATCACTGTTATCATACATGCATGAAACATCGAGAATACACAATGTAGTCCATGTGATTTCTTAAAATTATCGAGTAATCCAAGTATCTTTTAAAAATCGTCGGCTGATCCACATCCTCTTCAAATATTATAACAAACACTTTAATTAAAAATAAAATTTTCCTCGCATCCTATAGGCTATATGGTCAATCTTTTTAACTCATTATACATATATAGGTAGTTAGTTACATGGTATATATATATATATATATATATATATATATATATATATCCCTAGGAAACAAAATATGGTAATATTAGGAAAATGAAGAGAATAGAGAGGGACAAACCAGTAAGAGCTTGCAAGTTATTTTCAATTTCACGGCAGGCCATAACAGCTTCAACGGCATGGACTCTGACATGTTGTTGAAGCTGTTCTTTGAAAGTACATAACACTAACAAATATTGTGCCTGCAACAAACAAGATACCATCATAAACAACAAAACCACTTTCCCATGTACCAAAAACAAAACAAGAAAATCTCAAAATTAATCAGACAACAAAACTAGGAAATCCTGACAGACCAAGAAGTTTTCAAGCTCCTGTCTTTCATGGGGCGATAAGGAATGGCCCTGTTGATGATACTGTGAAGCATATGATCTAAGAAGATTATGAGACTGTGCTAACTGTGCATCAATCAAAGGCAACTGATCGATTGGTGTAGCCACACGCAGACAAGAAACATGTGCTGCTACAAGCTGCTCACAAAGCGGATGTATGGCTATCTCAGCCTTCAGCTGACGGTTCCGGTCACCGGAAACAGACACCTCACCGCCGCTGCTTAATCCTCCAACACTCCCACCACCACTCATCATCCCTAACCCTGGCTCTTGCATTTCTTTGAACCACAAAGGCCTATAATAAAACCCAAGTAAATATATTTGTAAAAGAAATGAGCATCAATCTAGTAGGTCAAGGAAGGACAACAAAGAAAGAGCCTCGTGCTTCGAGAGTGTTTTTAATGGAGGAAGTGAGAGAGGGAAAAGAAAGACAGATTTTGCTTATATCTCGTTAATGGTGTAAGAGAGATGCAGTATATCGGGATCTGAGACTGGATTTTCTGCACCTCCTGCTATATATGTTGCAGGGTTTCTTGCTTTTACATACACAGAGAAAGATGGAGAAGAAAAAGCATGACAATTATAATCAAAGCATGTACAAATTAATATATGTTAAAAAGAAATACATATATATTTGTAGGGATTTTTTAATCAGAGAAAAGGATGGAAGGGGAGGAGAAAGGGGCTATGGAATCATTACTATGAAAGGCTGTTTGGAAGAAGAGAGGTCAGATAAAGCAAAGGCAACATATTAATAAAGCTGTTTCTTTAGCCTGACAATTTAATTGCTTTTTGTTTTTTTTTACTTTATATTATATATAATTTAGGATAAAGTGCATAAATGGTTCATGAGTATATAATATTGCTTTGATAAGTTATTTGAATATTAAAAGTTATAAAATGATCATATGATAGGCGCTACTTTATTGAATCCTCCGATCATAAAATTTATAAAATAGTCACATGACTATTCATATATTTTAAACTCTTCTTTTTTCATTAAAAAATTGGTGATTGTCTAATATTGATATTAACATGTTAGTTGAGATATGATAAAATATGATCCAAAATTGTTTTAGTTGTATTTTATGGATCGAAATTCCATTTATATAATGTTATCGAGTCAGTGCTTAAAATATTATGTAAGCGAGTTAATGCTTGAAAGCAACGATAGCATCATAGACATCATTAAAAATATGATTTTATTATATAACAGTCAACAAGTTAACGTCCAACTCATACATGTGTCAGTTTTTTAACGAAAAAAGATTACTTTGAAACATTGAATAGTTGGTGACCATTTTGTAACTTTTAGTAGTTAGGGGACTCAACAAAACAATGTCTTGTAGCTAATGGACCATTTTGTAACTTTTAGTAGTTAAAAGACTCAACAAAGCAATGTCCTATAGTTGAGGGGTCATTTGTATACTTTACCCTATAATTTAAATAAAAATTGGAAAAGGCAATTTTGGATTTTCTTTCTAGCTTTTTAATAAAGAAATGAGCAAGTGGCACGTTGGGTTTGATTGGAGTTTGGTGGATCACTTGATTAGTAATTAAACTTAGAAATTTAAAAATAGAGTTGGATAAGGATTAGGTGCTTCTTAATTCAAGTTCTTGAAAATTGGAAAAGTTGGTTGATATATTCTCACAGAAACTATTCTAATTTTTGTGTAAATAAAAGGTGTAATACCAAAATTAGCCCCTAATAAAACGATCATTTTAATTTTATTCTTTTTTTATAGCATTTTGCTCTAAATATTTTATTTTAGGGTTAAAATGTCTATAATAATTGATCAAATAGTCAATTTTGCCATTATTATTTTTTGCTAGAACATTTTAGCCCTGAACATTTCATTTTATGATAAAAAAAATCCTTACATATTTTTGAAGTGTTAATAGTTCATTAACCAACATTTTTCATCAATAGAAGAGTCTTTTTGCCCTAAAATGAAACATTAAGTTTAAAATACTAAAAAAAAAGAATCAAAGTGATTATTTAATCAAACGCTAGAAGACTTTTTTAACATTACACTAATATTAAAAAAATTATATTATTTTTGTATCATGATTATATAATTTAAGATTTTAATGAAAAGTAAGTTACTCTTGATTATATTTATAATATTATTACCTAGCTCTTGATTATCATAACCAAACTTACTTTCTTCCCTTATAATACTAATATAAGATTATAAGCCCAGAACATTTAAATTAATAATTTATAATTGATCTTTTATATTATTACTCTATGATCAATTACATTTTCAATATTGCTTTAGTTAGCCGTAACACCTTGATGGTTTTAGGTTAACAGGTCTATGTCCCCAGCAACCGTAATTTAACTCAACGTTTTAAATTTCTTATTTCTATATTTTTTATATATATTAATTCAACATCCAAATAAATATATGTTATGAAATATTTACTTCATCTCTTTACTATAAACTTTAACTGCTATTATCATCTTCATCCCTTTATTTTCTTTGTTTTTTAACAAAGATAACTGAATTCATTAATAAAAATGATAAAAGAAATCAAAATTACAATACATTCAAACATAGAAAGAAAATAGGGACAATAGTCACCAAAAACCTTATACATAAAACAGAAATATTAAACTCAAATATACGAAGAAAAATGAAACTTTCATAAATTAATTTTATCTGTCAAATGAGACGTTTTACGAAGTGTTAAAAGAGTTGTGAGCAAACCAAACAATTTGACAGACATTTTACTATATAATTCTGATTATTTTGGCAAACAACCTTTTACCAAAAGAGTATCTAACAATACGTGATCACAGATAAAAATAAATGTCATGAGGATCTTTGTGTGAGCACCAACACGACTGAAAAAGTCCGGAAAAAAACGTACAAAAGCCCTAAGGAATGTGCCACAAGAATATAGAAAAAAAAACGTGCTACAAGAGTAGAGAAAATTGTGTCATCAAGACATATATTCTTATTTAAAATTGAAAAAACTTGGGGGAAAATAAAAAGAGCAAGAAAATGATAATCATCGTCAGTCGGTAACCAATGTTAAGATTAGTGTCGGTGGCAGCTAAAGAAAAATCAAAGAGAAAGAGAGATACGACACAAAATATTAAGTGGAATGTTAAAAGAATTATATATGAAATTTATTAAAAGTGATTTTGATCCTTAAATTTCAGTTTTCGAGTATTTTATTTTGAAGATTATATAAAAAATAAAAAAACAATATTACAATTACTAGTATTTACATGAAAATCATATTTTAGTCGTTCTTAAATTGTGTTAATATCTATTTAACTATTTATTGATCTTAATTTGGTATTAAACTCATCAAATGATTTCAGTGGTTAAATAAGTTTTGTTTTTTTTAGATGTCTTAAGTTCACACAATTATGTTTGTGGGTGTTAGTATTGTCAACGACTAAAAAATATTCTAAACATATATTATTTTATAATCACTCTAGATTATTTAAAAAAATAGTCGAAGAATTAAATATTTTTAAACTTATAGAAAAACTAAAAAATATTTTATATGATTTTTCAAATATACAAAAATCACTTAACGTTCAATAAACGAACTATCGATAAAGCAAGTTTCATATATAATCACCAAGTTTTAATTAACTTGAATATTTTTGTCATTTAAGAAAGTCAGATGAGGATTGAGCTGTCAGTAGTCAGTATTCTACCTTCTGGTTGGTGCATGCTTTTCTGTTTTTAAATATTTTCTGTCTTTGATTCTAACATCATTTATTAGTGTTTTTTTAAACTATGTTATTTAGTCATCCAGCTATCACATACTTACGTCTTGGTCACTCAATTATTTTTTAAACCATCAATAACGTTACATTTTAATCATCTAACTATTTTTATCAAAATCACCAGTAACTTTCCGTTTTGGTTTTATTTTGGTCATTTTTCATTAAAAAAAATTAATGGTGATGTTAATTTGTCACTATAAAGTAATGTCATATCGTCATTGAAAAAAATTAAAAAATGTCTCATCAGTAATTCTATTAATTTTTTACCATAGGTGATTAAAATGAAATTAAAATATAACATTAGTGATGATTTTGAAGAAAAAATAGTTAAATGATCAAAATAATATTAAAATGACAATTGGATGATTAAATACATAGTTTATTTCTTTTTTGGGTAAACCATCATACCGTAACTTTTATTTCAATTTTTTATAACTAATTTTGAAAAGTGTTATATTTAAATTATATATGCTATCGATTTATTAGATTTTAATTAATTATATTACCGAATGTGATATTTTAGTGGTTGAATCGTTAGTTTCTTTTAGTTTAATGACATGTCAAGTTAATAAAAAGAGTTATATTTTTAGTTTGACTCTTGAACTTTAAAAAAAGATCACTTTGATCTTAAATTTTAGATAAAATATTAATTTAACTTTTGAATTCGATCAAAGTCTCCTTTATCGACCGTCACTCACAACCATCGTTGCCGATCATACCGGTGGTCATCACCATCGTTGCTGACGACAGTTGGATCCTAATATTGACCAAATAAGAAAGTTCACCATGTAGTAAATAGTATCTATTTGGATCCAAGAAAATTATAATATATTTCTCCATGGATTTTTTCCTTCAGTTTCTTGCTAAGCAAACAGTGAGTCACCTGAGATTTATTTACGGGTATGTATCACTTGTTGAAGAAGCTTAAAGCGAAATACAAATAAAAACTCTATTGTTTATATCCATTACGTCGTCAAATGCAATGCAAATCACATAGTTTGTAGGAATGAGGATGAGTCGGGTTTGGTTGGTTTTTTGGCCAACTTGACCCGATCCGAAAATCTAATACTCTCCACTTAAAATTTGATTTAATCTAAGATATGACTTTTGAGATAAAACTCGATTTCGATAACTCGACTCGAAATAATATAAAACTGTTAATTTTTATTTAATAAAAAAAACTTAATTAAAAAATAACATAGAGAAAGATATTATTACAATTATCATTAAATAAATAATATATAATTATATTATTTTTTAAGTTAGATCGGCTCAGATTTTTTCTTGCTCATCACTAAAGTTTAGTGACAAAAATCCGAAGATAGAAATGAGAAAAGGTGAAGCATCGGCGTTGGCGTTGACGTTGGGCGGAAGGTATTCGGACGGTGGAAATAGAAGAGGGGTCGCTGTCACAGCTGTAGCTTTGTCCTATTCCCAGAACCTAAGACTGCGACTACCTCAGCCTTAGGGACCACCCTATTTTTTCATTTTAATTATTGGACAAAGTATATAAATGATCTTTATTATAATATGTTATTTTATTGAATTTTTTTATTAAAATTATAAATGGTCTCTCGATTATAGGTTGTTTTGTTGAGTTCCGACTATTAAAAGTTACAAAATGATTACCCAACTACTATATATTTCAAACTCATCATTTTTCTTTAAAATTTTAACGATTATCTGAGTTAGACGTTAAGCTACTGACCAAAATATGATAAAATCGGATTTCATAATCTCAAACGACTATATAATTCAAATGATTATGAGATTAAATTTTATCATATTTAGTCAGCAAATTAATGTCCAACTTAACCATTAAATTTTTTAATGAAAAATGACGAGTTTGGAACATAAGATTAATCATATGAGATTTTGTAACTTTTAATAATAAGGGATTCAACAAAGCAACGCCCAATAATTATACATTATTTTATAATTTTTAATAATCGTAAACTCAACAAAATAACACCATATGATTAAGGACATTTATATATTTTACCCTTAAAATTTTAACTTATGCATACTGTGGTTTCCCGTCTCTTAAATAAAAATATATATATTCTAACTTATAAGCATTCAATATATTAGTAAGGGTAAAGTATAGTAAGTCATTAAATTTTTTTAAAGTTTTCATTTAGGTCTCCTAACTTTTAAAACTTGTAATACAGTCCCCCAACATTTATCCATTTGTATTATGGTCCCCGACGTTACACTGTTATTAGTACGTTTGCAATATGGTCACTGAACTTTTCAGATGCTTGCATTTAGGTACCCAAACTTTTAAAACTTGCAACACAGACCTCAATTTCATTCTAAACCCCAAATTCCTTTTCGATCTCGAATTTCCTTTTTCGCTTTTATCTTCTAATTACCAGCTTAACTAGGTTTTGTTAGAAATGCAGAGTTGACAAATACTACTACTAAGATGAACTAAGTATCATTGTTAAAAGTCACCAACAAAGTTGTAATTATTTGTATAAATGACATATAATAATTTCTTCGTTTAATCATTGTGGTTAAAGATTTTCCAATAGATGATCAAATATAATGAAATCCCAAACAGTGCATTCACCTCTTAGTCTCTTTCGCAACTCGAAAGGCATCATGACAAGGTCAAGTAGCTGCTCCGAATATACTACCCTGTCATGATTCTTTCCAGTTGTGTGCATGCAGAATTGTCTTCTAAAGCTATAATTCAATACAATTCAACTATAAAATTTCCAAAACATGTAAAAAAATCCAATTCGTTCACGATATATCAGTCCCATAATCAACATGAACTTATTAAAAAGAATACGAGCTCACAATATGCCGAAAACCACAGTCGGATCAATACAATTCCCAGTAAACTAGTACCAGCAGTATCTCAGATTGAGCCTAGCGATTCACCATGTCGATACTCATAACCAATTCCCTTATTTAAAGAAAAATAAAACAAGAAGATAAAAAAAATTAGCCTAGGACCCTATTTCACTTCTATTCGGATGGACTGAATATCTTTCATAAGGAGTACTAAAAGTTTTGATTAAGAAGAAAGAAAGAAAAATAGATGGTTTTGGTTAAAAACTAACACTGAATATCTAGATTATTGACATGCAATTATAGAAACATAAAAATTTCAACAAAAAACAAACAAAGCGAGCTGAAGATGGGAAAGTGCGAAAGAGGAAAAGCTTACTTCCGGATAGCTCAAAGAGAAAATAAATACATTCTTGAAAGTGAGGGGAGAGGCTAAGAAATAAACGCAATCGGTGTTGCGTTCCAACAATTATTCCTCCATTTTTTCTTTGTAAATAAAAAGCTAAAAGACAGAGCACTGCTTGGGTTTACAATTTACATAGCGAAAAATTGAAGAACAAAAACCAAACGAGAGTGCATGTGAGCGAAAGAGACTGAGAGGTGAATGAGTTGTTTGGGATTTCATTATATTTGATCATCTGTTGGAAAATCTTTAACCACAAGGATTAAACGAATAAATTATTGTCATTTATACAAAATAATTCCAGCTTTGTTGGCGACTTTCAACAATGATACTTACTTCATCTTAGTAGTATTTGTCAACTCTGCATTTCTAGCCCCATTTTTTTCTCACAATCATTTAATCGAATATCTATGCTTCACCTGAGATGACTGTATCTAACATTACACCCTGAATCATTGATGGTCCATATAGTCCCTTAGTTGGGTATTCTCTCAATGGACTCTTTTTCAAGTCAACACCTCCACATAATTCAAAATTAGATTATAATTTCCCATGCATTCTCGATTGAAAAGTTACGTTGGAAATGAGAAGATAGGAGCGAAAAAGGAAATTCGAGATCGAAAAAGAATTTAGGGTTTAGAATGAAATTAAAGATTGTGTTGTAAGTTTTAAAAGTTGGGAGACCTAATGCAACGCCTGAAAAATTCAGTGACCATATTGCAAACGTACTAATGGCAGTATAACGTCAGGAACCATATTACAAACGGACTAAATGTTAGAGATTGTATTGCAAATTTTAAAAATTAGAGGACCTAAATAAAAACTTTAGAAAAGTTTAATGACCATTACTATACTTTACCCTATTAGTAATTACTAATTTATTTTACTTTTATGTTTTTTCTCTCCTGATTTTAAAGTTTTGTGTTAATCAATCTGAATCATTATATATATATATATATAAAAGAAATATTTATTTTTTAAAATTACATACTCAACGAGAACTGTAAACTTTTTCCGTTAAAAAAAAGGAAAATAGGAAAAACAAAGTTTATGAAATACATGCATTATCCCTGTAAAGTTTATGAACTCCAGTAAAGGATTTAGAAAATTTCTTCAAATAAATACAAAAATTATATCAAACAAACATAAATTGATTAATTTATGTTAAACATCTGTTCGATCTCACTATTTATATATATATATATATATAATGATTCCACCCTCTTCTTTGCTTTCCATACTTAAATAGGAGATGCTGTCAATTTGTTTTACATCACCGTTAGTTTTTTAATGGTAGATGACCCAAATGAAACAAAAATGTAACATTAGGTATGATTTTTAAATAAAAAAAGTCACATGACCAAAACAAAATAATAGTTAAGTACTAAACGTGTAATTTACCCCGTATACTATTATATAAGGCAGCCCTGGCGTTATGTACTTCCCCTGTTTTTACACTAAAATACTTCCCCCATCTATAATTCACAATATTGGTTAATCAAGGGATTTATTATAGCGTTGAATAGCAATTGGACCAAAAGACAAATCATTTACAGTTCATTGACTTCCTAAATGCTTTAAAAAACGAACCTCACATCACAATACACTTCTCCTTTGATTTTGCATCTTGCTTTGGCATTGAAGATGACGGGTTCCTTCCTCCACTGCTTCTCGGCACCTGCAATTCCCCACTTCTTTATTCAGAATTTAGTGTTCCATAAACCAAGTTGATCTTATGAATTAAAGCCGCCATGTCAGATGTAGGTGAGTGCATAAAAATAAGGGTAAATTACGTATTTAGTCATCTAATTATTTTTTTCAGAATTATACCTAATATTACGTTTTGGTTTCATTTTAGTCACCCATCATAAAAAATTTAACTGCGAACAATAAGGTAATTCCACATCACCATTGTTTTTTTTTAATGTCACGTTAGCAGTTCCGTTAATTCTTTAACAGCAGATGACCAAAATGAAACTAAAATGTAACGTTAGATATGATTTTGAAAAAAAATAGTTTGAGTGACCAAAATGGAACCACACAAATAGTCGGATGACTAGATACGTAATTTACCCTAAAAATAATAGCAAAGGATTCATTAATTATAGTTTTTAATGCTACTCTGCTCATCCTATAAGTACTAACAAGCCTATTAAAGTCATGCCATCTACTCTACAATCTTTCATGCTACTGTTTTATATAATCAATATTCAATGGGATAGTATACAAGTCGCACCAGGTATTTAGGGTACTAATGGAAAGCCTGATTTAGTCTCAAACATTATTCTACTGTTTCAGGTATACTTACCATAAGGCGTAACTCATCCATCTGAACAGTTTCCTACTATTCTTATACAAATAAGATTGACGCTTAAAGTATCTATTAAGGAGGGAATAAAATACCTGGGGACCTGTTACTAATCTTGAAGCACCAACAACAGGAGGTTGCTGCACATTCTGACGCTGTGGTGGTTGTTCAAACTCTTGTTGCTGTAATGCTATTGCGAGCTGTAAATCTGAGCTGTGATGACATCAACATAGAATCAATAATCAAGAACCATTGATGATGTTTATAGAAAATTTTAATCAATTCATGAAATATTTTAACTTGACCGATTTTCTAAATAAGCAAATATAGAGTACAACATTTCAGAAATACTATCAACCGAAAGTTGTGGAATTACGTTATATCCAACCCAGCTTGTGCTGCACCATCAATGCTGGCAATGTAGTCCTGCAGAAAAGGTAAATCTTTACTTAAGTTTCATTTAAGCTGTTCAAAAATTTGAAATCGACATTCAAAATACTCTTGCCAAAGGGAAATACATACAGCTGTACTAGCCATAGCATTTTGTTCATCCCAAGAACCATTCGTATGACTATCCACCTTGAATTCCTTAAAGTTGCCAGTCATAAACAGTGTATCTCCATTTACCTGAAAGCATGGGTTATGTTTTGGACACCAGACTTAAAAGAACCAAGAACAGAAACAAAACAGGTTCACAACAGTTGGGAGGTTCAAATTTAAAATTTTAATATCTTTGCAAAACTTTCAAAACATTTTTATCTTATTAGAAAGTTGAATAGGGAAAAGGCAATAAAAGAATTGGCGAAAATGCATCATCAAATGAAGAGCTTTTAAAAGGCACTAATGTTATGTAATATGGATCAGACAAGAAAAATCTATATCTCAAGCAATTTTGTATTTTCTTTCCATGAAAAAAAAGCATAGTTGTGTACTGTAAACTTTTTTACAGCATGGCTTGGAGAAAGATTTAGTGTCGCTCACACAATATGTAAATTCAGGAGTAATACTCCTGCCCTCTGCTCATTTTATAGTCTACAATCAACAAACAGGAAAACCCACAGACCACAGTTATAGCTAGAACTTCCATAATGAAACCATCGGGAGTCTTAGGTTTTTGTTTCCTTATATTTGGTGCTTTCCATTTCTTCACAAAGCTAAAACAAAAATACAATATAATCATTCCAGTTAAACATGACAAATCAAGACAGCCAAGATGCAGTAGCCATTGCACTACTAACTATGTATCTTTCTTGAGGGCTGCAATATACTTTGTAACTTGAAAAAAACCATATAAATATTCCAACTTTACCAAGTTTGACAGCAATTATAGATGACACCCAAAACTCAATGAAGTGATTCTTGGTTGAGATGATCTCAAGGAAATGATTTTACCTCATTGAGTTTCTCCCACACCAAATCGGGCTGATTTAAATAGCCTTGGTCAGTAGCTAAAAGATAAAGTTCACCGTCATACTGCATGAGTTTCATCAAATTAAGAAACAATTAAAATATAGCAATTGAAGAAAACTGATTGTAAAATCAATTTATTAATTTACTAAAGTTGTACAAAAGTTACAAAAGCATAATTAGCAACGGGTAAAGTACATCAGAGGTCCCTAAACTATGATCAAATGATCATTTTGGTCACTGAACTTTCAAAAGTTACAAACTGGTCATTAATATTAACGAACTGATCAAACTGTTACAAAATGATCATTAAATTTATCGAATTTTACTATTATAACATTGTAGTGATCATTTTGTAAGAGATCAATAAATTTAATGACCATTTCAAAACAGTTTGATATGTTTAATAACAAAACTAATCATTTGATCATAATTCAGGGACCTTTGGTGTACTTTACCCTTTAGCAATTCATAGACAGCTATCAGCAACACAATTATAAAAAACATGAGTGAGAAAGGCAGAGAGAGAAATAGAGAGTTTGTGACAGGTCGTTCATCTTCCGATAAGGAATGGACTGTTTTCGTAGACAATCTTAGTAAGAGAGTTACTAGAAGAGAGTTAAGAGAGATCTTCGATATTTATGGTCGTGTTTTAAGGGTCTACATTCCAAGTTTTATGGTGAAACCAAACTATAAGTCATCAACGTTTGCCTTTGTGCAATATGCGATGGAGGAAGGTTGTAGAAGAACGATTCAGAACGTCAATGGAAAGTTGATTGATGGGAAGAGAGTCTCAGTGGGGGTTGCAAAGTATAAGAAGGAAAGGAGAAGAGCAACTGATGACAAAAAGTTCCAGGTGGAAGGAAATAAGCATGTGCGAGGGGAGGAAGGTAGGCAGCAGGTGGTAATGGGAGAGCCGAGCAGCCCGAGGGACGACAGAACGTATAAGGAGGTGGTGAATGTGGAGGAAAGAGCGGAGCATGATAGAGCGGGAATTAAGGGAGGACAATTTGAAAGCTAATGGGATAAGGAATGTATGGGAAATGCACATTCCTTCTGAAGATTCAAGCTGGTGAAGAATTCTTTAACAGGGGTTTTGAAATATCTCCTTCAATCTGATATGGTGAAAAAGGCCCTGGCGAAGGAGGGTTATGAGGTCAAAATAGTAAGATGGGGTTATGTTAAGAATGCTTGTATCGTTATATTCAGTTCTAATGAAGATTTCTTAAAGGCTTGGTCGAACATTAGAGAGAAGTTGTTCCTTTGGTTTAAGTGGTTATCTCCATTGTTAAATGAAGGAGTTCCATTGGCGTACTGTTTGGTAGAGTTGGTGGGGCTACCATTTCTTAGTTGGTCTGCACCTTTTCTGGAGAAACTTGCAGGAATGTGGGGAGAGCTTGTGAGTATCATGGAGGAGACAAAGAATAGAGATGATCTTTCATCAGCGAGGTTATTGTTAAGGGTAGCAAGTCCTTTTGATATACCCGAATATACTTATGTAGGGTCATATGGAAGATCTTTTAAAGTCATAATCAATACGGGACCGAAGTGTAACAGTTTCCAAGCTGGAATCGGAGATGAGCTGCAGAAGTATTTTGATGATGGGAGTAGTGATGATTTTTCGAAGGAGGATGAGAGTTAACTCAGAGAAGGAAGAAGACAAGTGGGAGAAGTCAGTAGAGGAAGTAGGGTCAAAGGTGGACACGTGGTTACAACATGGTCAAGAAAGAGGGAGGTTAGAAGGTGGCGGGGAACAATCTCTGAAACATAAGTCCCACACGAAACCTATCATTAATGTGCTGTCAGACAATTTTGAATTTGAATTTGAGTCTAAGTCCTATAGAGATTATGCAGGGCTTGGGCTGCGAAAGGAAGTGGATTAGTTATATCCAGCCCAATCTGATGGGGAATCATCTTCACCAATCTCTAAACTAATTCCTTCTGGGCCTGCTGTTAAAATTAAGTGGGATGGACTGGATAAACATAACAAGTTCCAGTCTCTTTATGAATTAATGGAGGATGATAGTTGCAATATTCTAGAAGAGGATAATGAGGAAGGCCAGGGTGAGGAAATTTCTGCTCATGGTAAGATAGCAGAAGGAAGTTTCATGCAGGAGGATAATAATGTAGGATTTATGAAGGGCTCTAAAAGTTGGAGAATGGGACATTCAAATTATGCTAGCCTGTCAATTAGAAGTGCACCCGGTGGTAGGAGAGAAAGGGGTCGATATGCTAGAGTCTATAGAAGGTCAAGAAATAGACGAATTTGGTTAGGTGCAAATAACGAAACAGAATTATTTTGTTCAGAGGTTAATCTGAATCAAGGACAGAAGGCAACTGAAAGCAGATATTTTCAGCAGAGTTTTTCAGAATATAGGGGAAATGGACAGGAAGAGGATATCAATTGTTCAACAGATGTTCAGAAGACACCGAACGTCCCATTAATTGGCAGTAATCGTTTAGAAAGTCTGGCAGCAGCTTCTTACACTGCTTCAGGGTCACGATTTAATAAAAGAAGGAAGAGAAGAGCTCTAATCAGTGAAGCTTTGGAAATGGTTAATATTTCTACTGCTTTTTCATCTCATTTTTCGAAGCTGGTAGAGGAAGCAATGGCCACATGGGAAGTGTGTCAGATGTTAGGTATCTCTTTCAAGGAAGGGAAGAAGGCTTTTATTGATAAAATTGTGAGTCCTGAAAATGGTTTGGAGGTAGGAAGGGAAGGGTGATATGTGGGTTCGCAGGGAATATTTTTGGTGTTTGGTTTTAAAGTCAGTATATGCAGAAATTTAGTATCCTTACTTGGAACATTAGAGGTTTAGGGAGGAGGGAAAAATCTTTAGTAGTGGCAAGGCAAGTTAAGAAGTTAAAACCTATTATGATTTTTATTCAAGAACCTAAACTTGATCAGTGTCATGCGTCGATCATAAGGAGGAAATTTGCTGAAGGGAGTGGTGGTTTCTCCTGCACAGGGGTCTAAGGGTGGATTGATTAGTATGTGGAATGAAAACGTTTTCAATGTCACTAACCACATGTTCATAGTAGGTTTATCGCATTAGTGGAGAATTTTTTGAATGGCCAAAAGGAGTTTGTCTTCATTAATATCTATGGACCTGTTATTGAAGCTGAAAAGGAGGAATTCTTTGGGGAGCTGCTGAGTTATGTTAATTTGACGAATTTGCCAGTTTGTATTGGGGGTGATTTCAATTGTATCTTGTTCCGAAAGAAAAGTAAGGGAGATCACAAAATTGGCATGCTATTGAAACTCTTAGATCATTTATACAACAAGCTAACCTTATGGATTGCCTATGTCAGGAGGAACTTTCACCTGGTGCAGTAACAGAGAGTTGTCAACATGGATTAGACTAGATCGATTTCTAATTTGTGGCAGATTTTTGAACAGCTTTCCTAGGATTTCACAATGCCTTTTACCAAAATCAATTTCAGATCATAATCTGGTTTTGTTGGAGGATGTTAGTCACAATTGAGGGCCCAAACCCTTTAGGCTTTTTAATTTTCTGTTAGAGGAGAAAGGGTTTGATAATTTGGTTAAAGGATGTGTGGTTGATGAGAAGAAGAAGAGGAATAGAGGGGATTTTTAGGTTGTTACAAAATGCGACGAAGAAGATCAGAAATTGGCCTTGCAGCAGTCATTTAGGGCTGGCAGACTCTATTTCGCTGCTTGAAGTGAAAATAAACGAATTGGATTTAAAGTCACAAGGTGGAATATTGTATAAGGGGTAATGGGATCAGTTGATTGAATTCAAAAATGAGCTGTGGAGATTGTTAAGGATCGAGGAAAGCATTTGGTGGCAGAATTCAAGAAATAGATGGATAAAAACGGAGACAAAAATACGAGGTTTTTTCATCTTACTGCTATGAAAAGAAATAGTGTCAATACCATTCATTCTTTGAAAATTGAAGGGGTGGTAATTTCGGATCCAGATAAGATAAAAAACAGTGTTTGAGTTTTTCAGGACTGCATACAACACAAAAGAAACTTTTGTGGTTGAGGGTCTAGATTTTGATTTTATGAAAATTTCAGTAGTTCAAAGGGCTAATCTCGAGGAGGAATTTACAGAGCAAGAAGTGTGGAATGCAATTTCTTCTTCAAATAGTGCTAAAGCTCCCGGTCCTGATGGTTTTACCATGGGTTTTTATAAGAAATACTGGAATCATTTGAAGGAGCAGATTATGGAGTTTTTTTCAGATTTCTTTGAAGGAAAGGAGTGGGTACACGGGGTTAACCACGCTTTTATTACCTTGATCCCAAAGAAAGGTAATCCGGAGAGTATAGAAGACTATAGACCCATTAGTCTTGTGGGCAGCCTATATAAAATTCTATATAGAATGGTATGATAATTAGTACAGAAGAAAAATTGTTTTATAGGTAAAGATGGGAGAGAAAAGTAGAGAGAGAGAGAGAAAAGTTGAAAGGGAAAATAGGTTCAGGCGAGGTCTGGAAGGCTTTTGTCGATAATCTAAGTAGGAGAGTTTCTCGGCGTGAGTTTAGAGATATTTTTTCGTCTCAGGGAACTGTGGAGAGAGTTTTCATCCCGAAAGAAACTAAAAACCCAAAATATAGATTTTCCACTTTCGCTTTTGTTCAGTTTGAGAGGGAATCTGGTTTGAGGAGAGCAATTGATATGTTAAATGATTCACTGATAGATGGGAGAAGGATTTCAGTTGGTGTTGCAAAATACAATGAAGTTCGTCCAAGGAATGTGGCCAAGAATAGTCCAGTTCAGCTGGGTCCAGTTTCGTTTACAGCATGTCCTTCAAAGTTGAAAGAGGCTGATTTTTCCAGTAGGAGTGTTAGGGATGACAGATCGTACAAAGAGGCTTTACTGACTGAGGATATGAGGAACAATACTTGGGGTATAGGGAGACACATTCTGTTGGGAATCAAAGGGAGAAAGCATTGAAGAATGTTATGGAAATGCATATTCCCTCTGAGAATCGGAACTGGGTCAAAAGATCTTTAACAGGGATTTTTAAGCTCTCCTTAGATATTAAGTCAGTTAAGGAGTTCTTCATTACTAATGGTTACGAAGTTCAGATTGTTGGTT